GTTTATTGATATTCAAAAAACAAATTGATAAAACTAAATTGAGTCTCGTGCAATAAAGGTAATTTAATTTTATGATATTACCTATGTTTTTATTTTGTAATTTTTTTAACTCGAGATTAAAATTAATTTTTTATTTTAAAATAAAGTTAATGAATACATTATGTTACAACTTACAAAAATATTAGACAATATTACATATTGGTATAAAAGTTGAAAAAAATTGTAATAGCAATAATGGTAGTAAAAATACAAAATGACATTATTATAATCAATGCCTATTTTTATTAATTGTATATCAGAGTAGCAATATGATAACAATACAAATGACAACATTATAATCAATTTTTTTTTTTTATTATTATTATTATTATTATTATTATTATTATTATTATTATTATTATTATTTTTTGGTGATTGTAAACCGAAACAACAGTAAATCACTTCTATATACCAAACGCTAAAATGTTGATCGAGATATACAATATTCCAGAACAAAGTTTACCAAACACTTAATCGATTCTTCCTCTTCCCTCAGCTAATTCTTTCTTCAGCACGGTAAAAATTGATTCACTTATAGTACAACAACATCAAATTAAAACTATGCTTTTGTAAATTCATTCCCAATGTTGATTATTAGAATACTCACCTTATTATCTAATGGCTTACCCACGACTTTACTCGTCAGAATACTCAAATTTTTTAAACAAAATAAAATAAAAAAGCATAAAAGTGACTCTCCTCAATGAAAAAGGATAAATTGTAACGATAAGCTAATTACAAGCATTTTCTTTAGGGGATATAATCGGAGAAAAAATGTAAGAGTACCTTGTAAAGAATGCTTAATCAAGTCAAACTTAGACTCATTTATTATTGTTTCGATAAATTAGTAATACTCTTGAAATTGTGACATTTGTATTACTCATTCAGATTTGGAGACATTTTTCATATCGCACTAGCTCAATCTACAAGTTATTATGGAAATCTTCCAACGCGACGACAACAATGTATAATTTTTCTATTTTCGCTCTTAGCCAGGCAAAGTCCTAGACATTATTTAAAAAAATAATTTTAAAATAAAAAACATATTTTTGGTACTATCTAGTCTGATCTAAAATTATGGACAGAATACGTCACAACTATATTTATCATCATTAAAGGCAAATAGAAAGTTTATTCGTTATAACCTCTAATGATAAATATTTTGATTTTGCAAACAAACCTAGCTCGAGAAAGGGTAGGCTTGTTACATATGGAACTTATAAGTGGATTGGACGGGACATGTATAAAAGGAAAACCCATTGGGCCGTCTATGAATTGGGCCACTATTATATATGGCCCACAATAGGATTTGATGTTCAAGTTAAAGCCTAACCCAAAATTTGTCAATTTGATGCTCAAGGTTTATCGTAATGGAAAAATACATAATATTCATAATTTTAAGATATACTTTAAAATTTAAGAAACTTGTTGATTTCTTTCAAAAATCACGTAGTACCAATTAAATACGTAATTAAAAAGGTTAAGGTTACAATTACATGTAATTTATGATTACAATTGCGTATTAGTTACAAATCATGTAACGGTCACAACGACACAAATGGGAGCACAATTGCAAATTTATTCATAAATCACACATGTCAGGTCCAAATTTGTAAGTGGCAATTATCGTATTCAAAACCAAGAGTTATTGAGTTGTAATTAAAATTAAGAGGGTGTTTGACATTCATTTTTAAGGACAAATGAATTTTAGAACAGTAGATTGATGGAGAATGTGTGGATAAAAAATTTTTGATTTATGTGTAATATTGTTTTAATAAAGACTGTGTGGTTAAAAAAAAGAGAGAAAATGTATTTTTAGAAAAATGAGAATCAAACAGGACCTAAAATAATTGTGAGTTGGTAGCATAGTCTTTGAGGGAATCAAATATAGATAAAGGAGAAAAAGTCGGTACAAAACCATTCACAGGCCGCACATTAAGCGTCGAAGCGCTCAAAACACGAATGTAGCCGCTCGCCTCGTGCTCGACCAGTTTATGCATTCGGGAAAATTATGTTCGCAATTTTCAATTTGTTTTCCATTTCTATTCAACTTCAGACTCTTCATATTATAAATATCAAGATTGAAACATTATTGAATCAATTGCACAATCTATCACGAAATGGCAACTTCGCATCGACTTTAGGATCTCCAATCGCAGTTGGAGCAACAAGATTTGTATAGACTACTCATAGAAAATCCCCATTGTGCCTCCATATCCTACGATATCTTCACGTGCCGCAATTACTCCATCGTGGCCGAATTCTTTCCATAGTGGCGTGGACATGGATTTGAGGGCGAGTGATGATGGTGAAGTAGTAGTGGTGAAGTGGGAATTGTGCTTCGGAAAATCATGGTAGATGATAGGTTGGGTGTCCGGCAAGCGATGGACGACAGTGGCATCAGTAGGCTTCAAAGGTGGTGTGGGTCTAAGAGATTGGGAGGTCGATTTAGGAAGAATTCGAGTAAGGGATAGGGTGTGAGGTATGTAGGTAGGGATATGGAGCACGTTGGATGGGGAGTGGCGTAGGTATACCTAATTTTTGGGAAAAAAAATGATTAAATTTTTTTACCTGATTATTGAAATGTGAAATTAAAAAAGTACGCTTTGTTTGTAATTTCTCCGTATCGCCTTAGGCCGAAATAAGTCACTTTACGCAATGATATCAAAATGAGAAAATTAAAGATTTGGCCAACTAACAAATGAACAAATGATTTTTGTTAATTTGGACTCTAATTGAAAGTTTTTAAAAGATTTGATATCATGAATGTTACAAATTAAATGTTTGCATCAAATTCGCATAAAAGTGAAATATTTGATATCATAACTACAATTTTCCATTTTGTGCTGGTTTTTTATTTGATTATCGGTTTGTGGTGATTTATTTATTTATTATTAATATTATTAATATTTTTCAAGAATGTAATGGTGTGAGGAGGCGTAGACGCAATGATTAGAGAAAGAGGTAATGGTGGTTAAGATGGTGATGGGTTGTTGTGGTACACGTGTTATAAAGTTAAAATTTTCATAATTTGCCTATATTGTAATATCAAAATACATACATAGTGTAAGTTTAGATTTTAAAAATAAATAAATATATCATAACACGATTTAAATGTAAATCATCACAGAGTTTAAGTTACAATTATTATAACTTATATCAACTTATATGCATGAAAAAAACAACGATTATAGAATTGTTTCTACCACGTAATAGCAAATTTTGAGAATTCATCTTTTAGCTTCTCCAATTATTTATAATTAAAAATTTTAATACTATTTAATTAAATTAAATCCTTTTTTTTTATCCTGTGTTTATTGATATTCAAAAAACAAATTGATAAAACTAAATTGAGTCTCGTGCAATAAAGGTAATTTAATTTTATGATATTACCTATGTTTTTATTTTGAAATTTTTTTAACTCAAGATTAAAATTATTTTTTTATTTAAAATAAAGTTAATGAATACATTATGTTACAACTTACAAAAATATTAGACAATATTACATATTGTTATAAAAGTTGAAAAAAATTGTAATAACAATAATGATAGTAAAAATACAAAATGACATTATTATAATCAATGTCTATTTTTATTAATTGTATATCAGAGTAGCAATATGATAACAATACAAATGACAACATTATAATCAATTTATTATTATTATTATTATTATTATTATTATTATTATTATTATTATTATTATTATTATTATTTTTTGGTGATTGTAAACCGAAACAACAGTAAATCACTTCTATATACCAAACGCTAAAATGTTGATCGAGATATACAATATTCCAGAACAAAGTTTACCAAACACTTAATCGATTCTTCCTCTTCCCTCAGCTAATTCTTTCTTCAGCACGGTAAAAATTGATTCACTTATAGTACAACAACATCAAATTAAAACTATGCTTTTGTAAATTCATTCCCAATGTTGATTATTAGAATACTCACCTTATTATCTAATGGCTTACCCACGACTTTACTCGTCAGAATACTCAAATTTTTTAAACAAAATAAAATAAAAAAGCATAAAAGTGACTCTCCTCAATGAAAAAGGATAAATTGTAACGATAAGCTAATTACAAGCATTTTCTTTAGGGGATATAATCGGAGAAAAAATGTAAGAGTACCTTGTAAAGAATGCTTAATCAAGTCAAACTTAGACTCATTTATTCAAATTTAAGGGAAGAGGCCAGAGGCTGCTTGCAAAATTGACTAGTCAACAAGTCCTTTTCAAATAGGTATAATTTCAGTATTGGTGCCCAATCTACTGTTAGTATAGCAATTTAGTTTTCAGTCTTAAAAAAGAGCAACATTGTCTTCAGTCTTTAATTATAATTAATTCCCAACTATATGAAGTCTTTAAAATTCCATTAAATTGTTATTTGATCTTTTCTAAATATATTTCACTTTTAAAATTGTAATTATGGGTCTAAGTTGAAAAATAAAGTGTAGCTTTGTAAATATAAACATGCAAGAGTCACGTGACAATTTAACGAAATTTTGTAAAATTTATGATATAGAGGACTAATTGCACGATTATAATAATAGGTTGGAGATGAACTTGCTCATTATTTTTTACTATAGATCTTATCACTTTTTAATTATATTCTTTCCGTTCATCTAGAAATACGACAAACATCAAAATCATATTCATTTTTCTAAGATTGAAAGTTTTATATTTTAATGATGCTCTCGTACTACGAAAAGCTCCTCTAATACTATTATTCTCGTTGTGCGGTCTCTTAAATTCATTGAGTTTTTCCAAACACCACTTGTCCGCACCATTCACTTTGCGGCCCTTATATTTCTAATCAGGGACCAACTTGTTAGTCAGAAAATAAACCAGGGACCAATGGTACAATTATCGTTTTTAATTAAAAAAGTCAACCTTTTCAAATGATCTATATCATCTTTCCAAGAAGCTTCCACAGGATACTACCAACTTTCTTACATTAACTCCTCAATCTCTCAACAAAAGTACAAAACCATAGTTGTCATTCTTATCTAGCTGTGTCTGCCGTTATCACAGCCTTGAAGCAGATAAAAAAAATGGAGATTAGCGCATCTACAAAATGCGACTTAAGCTTTGAACAAGCTTGGCCCTTTCTTCATGAAGCCATCAACAAGGTCATTGGCAATCTCGAAGGAGTTCACAAACGCGAGTTTACATCTGAGGAATATATGCAAGTCTATACGTATCCTTATCAGATACCCTTTATCCTAGTATTAAGTGGGACGAGTTGCTCGTCAGCGAGTGAGCTAAGCTCGCACGAGTTCCCTTGTGTGCCAAAATGCGACTTAAGCTTTGAACAAGCTTGGCCCTTTCTTCATGAAGCCATCAACAAGGTCATTGGCAATCTCGAAGGAGTTCACAAACGCGAGTTTACATCTGAGGAATATATGCAAGTCTATACGTATCCTTATCAGATACCCTTTATCCTAGTATTAAGTGGGACGAGTTGCTCGTCAGCGAGTGAGCTAAGCTCGCACGAGTTCCCTTGTGTGCTCTCTCAAAATAGAATGGAAAATTGTGTCAAAAAGAATTCTTGATTCTCTAAATTTTTTAGACTCAAGTATTTATGTTAATCACATTAAGGGGAGCAAACAAAATATACGGAGATTATGAGCCAATAGAATTTCGGACATCGTAGAGCTACTTTATACGGACATCTGTAGGTCATGCCCTTCGACTTCTTGGAATGGTCAATAGTATTTTATTATGTTCATAGACAAATTTTTCTCACTATGGCTACCCATACTTCATCTATGAATATCCCGAATACTAGACATGTTCAAGGAATATAAGATTGGGGTTGAAAATCAATTTAGCAAAAGAATTGAACAAGTGAAATCTTACTATAGCAGTGAGTACTATAACAGATATGACGGTTCAGGAGAACAATGTCCAGGATCTCTTGCTAAATTTCTAAAAGAATGTAGAATCGTTCCATAGTACAGTATGCTAGGTTCTCCTAGCATGAACGATACTGCTGAAAGACGAAATAGAACACTTAAGGACATGGTAATGAGTAAGATTAGCAATTCCACACTACACCAGAATCTCTCTAGGTTGAAACGCTAAAGATTGCAGTGTGAATTCACAATAAAGTTTCAAGTAAAGCAATTATTAAGCAAAATCTGAAAGATCCCACTATTAAGTCATTTTTTGAAACAAAAAATGCCCAATTCTTTGAAGGTGTAGATTTTGTGGGAGGAAATCATGTCAGAGATTTTATCTTTGAGAAGGAATAAATAAATATTCCGTATATTATAATTGACTATGATCTGGACCAAAAGGACAAGTTCTTGCTCCAAAACTTGTTTAAGAAGCAATTTCGAATAAACAAATGCTATTAAGAATGATTGTTTTGGAAGAACAACCTCATAAACAAATGCTATTAAGAAAATTCACTAAAGAAAGTAGAAAGGCAATTCGGATAATTTTATAGTCTTCCTCGAAAAAACAAGGATGATATTGTATTGGTAGAAGAAGACTTGATTAATCAACTTTCATCATGCAATGCAAAGGAATAATTCGTAAGAATTAATTGATGCAATGAATGAAAAGATAAAGTTCATGAGTAACAATGACGTTTGGGAACTCATCTCATTGCTTGATGATGTGAAATCCATTGGCTGTAAATTGATATTAAAACCAAGAGGGATTCAAAGGGTGATGTGGAGAGATATAAGGCCCGTCTTGTTGCAAAATAGCTTTACTCAAAAGAAAGGCATTAACTTTGAAGAGATTTTCTCTTAGGTTTCTACAAAAAACTCTTCTAGGACTATTATGGCATTTGATCTTAAGCTACATCTTATGGTTTACAAATTAAAGAAATCCATGTACAAGTTTAAACAGGTTTTCCGTCAACGGTAGCACAAATTACATCAAATAATTATCTCATTTCGTTTTGAAATGAATTCAGTTGATGATTGTGTATATCACAAGTTCAATGGGAATAAGCATATTTTTTGGTATTGGATGTCAATGACATACCATTTGCCTGCAATGATAAAGGATTATTGGATGAAACTAAGAGATTTCTACCATGGAATTTTGAGATAAAAGATCTTGGTGACACCTCTTTTATGTCAAGAATACAAACACGCTGGGATAGTTAGATGTATATTTGGATTATCACAAAAGAGTTATATCGATAAAGTTCTTAAAGGATTTGGGATGCAAGTGTGTAAACCAATAGATACCCTCATTGCTAGAGAGACAAGTTTAGTTTTAATCAATGCCCTAAGAATAAACTTAAAGAAAAAGAAATATAGAAAATTTCTTTTGCTTCAGCAGTTGGGAGTTTAATGTATGCATATGTCTGGATATGGCATTCATTGGTTGAATACTAGGCAAATATTTAAATAATTATGGGATGTATATTTGGAAAGCAACCAATGAAATTATTCAGTATTTATAGAGAATTAAGGATTACATGATCACATTTAGAAAAAAATCAGACCAATTGGAGATCATTGGATATTCTAATTTTGATCATAGAATATGAATATACAATTTTGTCACCAGGCTGCATATTTTGGATGGATTTGAAAGACCACTTTAGTTATTCTTTGACAATGATAATCTTATATTTAAACGGGAGCTTGATGATGTCAAAGTTTGTAGACATTAAGTTCCTAATTGTTAAGAAAATAATTTAGAGTGTTCATGTTTCTATAGAATAATTAGGACAAACTCTATAATTGTGGATCCATTTACTAAGGAGCTATCACCTAAGATCTTTCATGAGCATACTGCCAGTTTAGTGGAAGTTTGTAATTTTAGGTGTTGTCTTCTTTTGACACGGGATTTTGGTTGTGCACATTTAAGCTTATTTCGATAATAAAGTATTCAATTCAGTTTTCACTCTGATTAAAGTTTATGATTGATCTCATTAAAGAATAAGGTATGTCCAGTTGGAAATTGGAATATTTAGATCACATTGCATGTAATTTTCATGCTACACATCCACACTTGATCTATATCATTTGATTGTGTTGATATACGTGACAATTGATGATTTAATTATGATAATTGAAACGAAGACCGCTTTGATCCAATATTAACATGATTAATGGACGAGATTATTCGAAGATGCCTTTTGGTTATGATAGCAAAAGTATTGAGCTCATAAAATTATACACATTTATAAGGTAACATATGTGGCCCAAGTGGGAGATTGTCAGAAAATGATTAATTTGCCATGTAAGCCAACATATGTAATTAATTGAGTATAAATGCTATTTTAAAGCTAAGCCTAAAATTAAAGTGATTTAATAAGTAATTAGGGTATTGGGCTTAGGGCATCTAAATAAAGTGTAGATCGAATTATATGTGTAGAGATCGAATTCCTTTAAAATTGTATTTCATGACGGGCAAAATACATATAGAAAATATATATAGGGCTCTGATTTCCAATTCATATACAATTTTCTTGTTCTTTGTGTCATCCCATCAACAAAAGAATTATAGAGAAAATATATTGAAGAGGAAGATCTAAAATCCACAATCAAGAACATACAATCTACAATAAGAAGTTAAAAGTTGTTACATCCCTGGCATAGCATTGTCCGAGGCATGAGATCCATGCATAGCACCTCAACCGAAGTAAATCGGTAGGAGCATGTTCGAGGCGTGAGGTCCTCGAGCTAATATGTTTTGAGGCATCTCTTCCAAAGCATGTTATGCTGTGGAGAAGAGGAGAAACCTCTCCGACGCCAGTTCCATATACGAATCTTTTAGATAAGATTGTTTGTATCTTTAGGAATGATTGATGTGATGTTTCTGTCATATGTTAATCCAAGACCAGAGGAATTAATTGCCTACCCACCTAGAAAGCGATTGATGGACTCCTATGAGTAGACACCTCATACTACCGGATAGTCACACGTTTCTCACATCTAACAATGCCCTCTGCCTATAAATACCAAGAACCCAGCTAAGAAAGGTAAATGATTATGTCTATACTATTTCACAACCAAGAAGTTATTTTCTCCTCCCCATTGGGTTTATGCATTTTCGACACCGTTGCCACCACCGTCGACAACTTGATCATCGGAATGTATGTGGCCGTTACCACCACCTCTAGTACTGGCCATATACGCTTGACCGTTTTGTTGTTACACGCAGAGAGGAACACGTGGAGACCTCGCTGTTGGCCACGTGGAGGGTCCAATTCTTAAGGTCAATAGATTGGTGTTGTTTGTGAAAACGACCATTTTAGTGTTTCCCATAGAGCTGGACAAATCTCCTAAACCGAACCAACCGAACCGAACTGAATCGAACCCAATGGTTTTTGTCAAATTAAATACCCGAACGGGTATCTGAATTGAGAACCGACAGCTACTGTTCGATTCTCGGTTCTAAACCAAGAACCGAATCTTTCTAATTTTTTTTATATTGAATAAATCAAATTATTTTAATTTTAATTTTTTTAAAACAAATTAACAAGTTAACAATTTCTAAATCCAAAATTTTGGCCGAATAATTTGTTTCATTTCTAATATTTTTAATTTTTGACCTAATTACCCATTTTATTGTTTCATTTCTTAGCCCAACAAGATCCAATCCACTAAATAACTCTAAACATCTACAATAAAGTGCATAATGTTGTCTCGACTCTCGCACTCACTCTCACAGCCTCACTGACATTCCAAAATCTATACAATCGTCGGTCGACGCTGTGACCTACGATCGAAGCTTTAACCTCCGCCGAGGGAAGCTTTGACCGTAGCGATCATTTTAACAAAGTAGTCTACTAGTTTCTGACATTCCAAAATCATTGAATGTGTCATTAGTTGTATTTATATAATGTTGTTATAAATGTTAAAAAATTTAATTATAGTACAGAACCGAACCGAACCCGAACGGTTCCATAATTATATTTGGACCTGACAATTCCATTTACTAGATACCCGAAAGTTTTGGGTGCCCACCTCTAGTTTCCCAATAGCCACCAAAAAATTTCAAAAAAGTTTTTCCCTTCAAAAAGAATGTCCTTGAAAAAGAACTAAGTGAAAGCTACCAATTTATTGGAGGAAAAAATGAGTTCGAGTAATGAAGACATTAATCTAAGAAGGATGAGGGATGCCTCTGAAGAAGCGACGCTTCGAGTGAATGTCACACACCGAAAATCTCATCATTGCCATCGCCGAGGTGGTAGAGCGACCACGAGGCTAATTGCAAAAGTAG